ACAGACGCTGTTAGATCTACGATAGACTTAATAGTAGCTGTCACATCTATTAGTTACGTGACCTCTAAGCGCCCTTCTTTAAGGTTGTCTTAGTTAGTGCCTAATAAACATTATTACGATATATATAAGATCCCTAATTAGATCTTAACATCAGCTTCCCCCTCTTAAGGATTTGTCCTCAAATCATGTAATCCATTAGCTAACTTAGTTAAAAGCCGGCGTGCCCCACTTCTTATATAGTAGCTCGTTGCACAATATCCAATTCTAAAGCCTATACCTCTCGTGCTACAAAAGAAATCTATTAATACGGTATTATTTCCCCCATTTCCTATAATTATTATCTTATTACTAGTGTCGCTTATATTATTATACCTACGTCTAATCCCAAGGCTCACCTTCATTACGCTAAGTGTATGGATGCCTATAAGCCATGCGTTAACCTGTCATGGATATCCCTAGACAAAACTCGTGAGGAGTATTAGAAGAAGGTGGATAAAGATAAGAAGCTTCTAAGTAAAGTGTTAATACGGTTAATACAAAATAAGAAGATATTAAAGCAGGCTAAGGAGCGTGTAAAGAAGAAGACTAAGTGTCTTCTAAATAAAATTAAGGAGGCTAGTGAGGTTGACGAGAACGAAAACCCCATTGGCGTTTCCATAGGTTGTCCTACGGCAGATGCGACCGTGGGTTATTCCAACATAATATAGATGCTAGAAGACTTTATAAATCCGTTAGAGATGAGGACCTAAGTGCGTTATATCCTACGTCATTCAAGTGGTAATATTCGTGAAAGGAAGTCTCGTATGTGTTACTAACAGTTGGCTAGGTTTTTCTTAGGTTCCTATGTATTTTCACTTAATAGGTATCCTTTCCATTTAATGAGGTATTCTTCACTTTCTATAAATGGGTTACGTATTTATAGGATTCATTCTACTTCGAATTCTATTTCTTCTTCTGGCTAATAATAGAAGGTGGTTTCAACTAGTGTATCTTAGTCCACTAGTTCTAGTAATAACACGTGGAATACCAGGTGTATATTCGCGTCTAG